CCACATGGTGAGGGGAAAAAAAAATAATCAAATACTCAAAAAGAGATGTTACTATGCAATATAACAAAAACAGGTAAGTGAGCTAAAATTACAGACATCGACATTGCATTTTCAAAGTAACTTTCAATTTTAGGCCAAGCCTCTACATCAAAACATTAGGTTGTACTTAACTTCAGCCACTACAGCAGGGCTAGAAGCCTAAAAGCGTTGCACAATCAGTCACTAAAAGCTCCGGAAAAGTGAGGTGAAGCATCACACCATAATACTGATGTGGTGGTGTGGCACAGCAGGGGGACAAAACAACCTTGCCTGTGCCTCTATCTTGTTATTCCAATTATTCTTGTTTTCAATCACTCAGGGTGAAAATATTTGAATCTGTTCAGCTAAGCATGCAAATACTGTTCATAAAACAAGAGGGAAATATATTCTCTAGGAGAGGGTTAATGATGGAAGGCTGAAAATCCTTGTCACTTTTAACAGAAATATTTCTGAGAAAGGCTTTTATGAAGAATGCCACAAAGCAATCAGAAGAAAGGCTACCTGCTATGGTTATTGAAGTTCTTTTTCACCCCATCTTAAATACTGAACAAGCTGCCCCAGATGAAGTGACTTTGTTTATATATAAAGCACAGGAATGGCTGAAACAGTAACAATTAAAAAGGGATTTTGTTTGCAACTTTCATATGTGAAATGTATACAAGGGAAGTGTAATGTACTGCCTGCAAAATAACCCAACTGGGGGACAGCAAACAGCAAATGCCTCCAAACTTACAGTTATACAGTCTGTAAAACTATAGAACAAAAGCTGTGTGTATATCTATACATATATATATAAATATAAAAATTAAAAAAACAACTCCCAAACCCTTCCCCCACAAACCACCTCCCAAAGTTCAGAAAAAAAAAACACATTTGATATTTCTTGAATAGAAGCTGCAGCCCAGGTGTGCTCGCTGACATGACAACTCTCCACAGAGCCCTGCTCTCCTGCCAGTGAAACCTCTCTGCAAGTAATGCTGTGCTGAGGTCTGGAGCTGCAGGACAAGGAAATCCACCTGGATACATTCAGTACAGCATCACACTACAGCATGTCATCATGTTAAATTATGTAGCATACTATTTTCTTTTAGTAAAGAACTGTGAACAGAAAAAAAAAAAAAGAGGATATAAGTGACATTAATTATTGATAATGGCTATAAATGTGGATCTGGATGTATTGTCACAAGAATACAAGTAATATACTTGACAAATTCCTCTAAGCCATTGCCAGCCTCACCTCCTCCCTAACCCAAAAGTTGTAATTTTTATTAAAGCTTTCAGTATTTACAGTGAATTTTCAATTTCATGCATTTTAAAACTTTAGGAAATACATCAATATACCTGTCACTGCACTGACCTTGGCTCACGGCTGATAAATACAATATATGAGACTACACTGCTGTTATTCTCATCCTTCTCCATTTTCTTTTACTCCCACAAATGTTACTTAGTTCTGGAACAAAACATATCTTAACTTCTTCTTCCCAAGCTCTGCAAACAAATTTTGAAGAGTTAAACCTCTCATTTTTGTTTCATCCTCACGCATGGAACTCCTTCAACCTCTGCCCTCCAGCTTGGCTACAAGCAACAGCATGAAATTTTAGTTCAAAAGCTCAGCTGATTTCCACAGCCAGTCAGGACAGCAGAGCTGAAATTGTAGTATTGTCTCATAAACTTAATTCTGCTGTCGTAAGCAAGGTACAAAGCAACATGCAGCAGCAGAGGCATTCAGTCAGGTTGGCTGCAGAGTGTGTATTCAGTACCTACTAACTATGAACTGCATATCCCAACCATAAAATCTACAAACAATAGTTTATCTAAGGAAAGCCAGTCTATACTCTGTCATGGGAACTTCATACAGTTATTTAAGTACTTAATAAAAAAGTAGTTTGGTTTGTTCAGTATGTAGCCCACATCTTCTTTGGTTGTGCTAATAAAATATTAACAACAAGAATTCTGTATTTCAAATAAAAAAACCCACCTAACTCTAAACAAAAAAAGCATCATTTGAGAAAGGCAAAATTTTCCTGCGAAAAGAGAGAAGAAAATCCATACCTACCTAAAGCAGAATTTTTTAAGAAAATACAAACAAATTGGCAGCAGCCTATGGCAAAGTACTGTCTAAAGTCTTTGACACAGCATACAATTGTGGACACACAAAAACCATGAGAGAAAGCTATGTTTACCAGCTAAAGTATTGCACATTTACTAGCTACACTTTTTTTTTTTAATATTCAGCATATAATTTGACAGCCTTGCAACTGCAGGTCACCTTTAACACTTGACAAATAACACTGAGAAACACATCAATCTTCAGGCAGTAATTTACAGAGCAAACAATCCAATTTGACTTGGAATGAATTAGAAAATACAGTCTGAACATGACAATCTCTGAAAGCACAGAATTCTTCAAGTCTCATGAATTTGCTAATTATGACATGAAGTCAATAACAGAGTTACCTGCTACATTCTCCATAGCTCCTAGTAATTATTTTTCAGCTACTGTTTGGAGTGGCAACCATTTTTTCCAAATTCTAAATTTGGAAACTCAAATAACCAGTCATGCAAAAAATTGTTTCTCTGTCAGCTCTGAAATAATACCTTGATTTGTTTTCCTCTTCTCAATTTTTAACACATTGGGTAAATTAGTAGAGGAGACAACAATTGTCCAACACTGAGAACACAGACTGCTTCCTAATGCACATTATTCCCACCCAGCCTCATCTATTTTCATCAATTAAGAGTCAATTTTCTCAGGAAAGAAAACAGGGAATTCAGAAAACAGCAGGTCACAGCAAAGGTACACCCTGGTTTCACCCTTGTTCCAGCTGCTTTTACAGGCCTCTGAGCTCTTCTTGGAACAAAGGCCTCAGACACACAGAGGCAACCAGAAGAGAGGAGTCGGCACCATGTGGTTTGCCAGCTCTTCATGGATCACAGCCTACAGTTCAGGCACCAGTTAGAAGCCTTTATTTATTTTCCAAGCTTCTACTGCTTCAAAAGTGCACAGTTAAAGCAGCTGCTGGTTTGCCTGTGTTCCCTTAGTTACCAATAACTATGAGCTATGTTTATTTAATTTATAAACTACTCCAATATGCAATGTAAAGGGCTCACAGCCTTTAAGAAGAGGCTTTTAGCAGCTGCTCAACGTTAGCCAGTAAGTATTTTGGGATTATTGTTGTGTACGACTTTACAAAGGATTGTTATGCAAATACATTTATGAAGCTTTTACTGGTAGAAACCACCACCACAACAAACTGCCAAAAGGAACAGGCTGGAGCCTCAAAGATAAAATTTCACACTCTTTTGAGGTGCTCTTCCATTCTAGACAAACTTCTTAGGCCTCAGACATTGGCCTCATAGAAGTCAATCCAGAACCATGTTACTTGTAAGAATTAAGGCAGAACTAGAGGACACCAAAAAAACAATCCCAGACAAACACATCCCTATTCAATTTTTTTTCTCAGTAAAATTAATGAAGCATGTATTCTACTGAAAGAGACTATGCATGCATGTTTATGTTCAGGGAGGCTGGCTAACCTGGTAAAAGAAGAGTTGAGGGCCCTACGTAATAGAGGCCCATTTACTTGTCTGTGTTGGAGAAAGCAGTACCAAACATAATGATTGATATGAGCCTACTTTCTTATGAATAAATCCCTAGTAATAAAGATTCTGAATCACAAATGACTTAAGGAAAACAACATAACCAGATCACTTTTTAAGCAGAAAGATGGGACTAGGTTATATTGTACTATACTGAGTAAACAACCTCACGCCCAAAGGTCATGTAAGAATCTCTTGACTAATAATAATAATTTTCATTTTCCCTCTTCAGGCAGCAAGAGATTTTTATTTTTTAGATCATTAACTCTGTTGTTATTCATAATCTTGATTCTATTTCTCAAGTAAAGTGAAGGACAGAACTCTACAGAAGAGTTGGAGAAGGCCAGGTCCTTTCTTGCCAGATCCAGGCAGAATTCCTGATCCACTTGAGCTTGAGCCAGGAAAGTTCATTAGGAAGAAGCTCTTGTGCTCCATGACTTCAGAAACAATAGTTCTGCACTGTCACTGCATTTGGACTGTGGAATCATTTGCTTGAGCTCTTTTGCAAAGAACAGTTTTTACATCAAGCGTGTTTAAAAACAAAAGCTATTAATTTACATTTTTGTTTTTCATTTTGCACTATCAAGTGATTAACTAAAGCGACCTGACATAGAAACATACAGAACCTGTACTTCCTCCTACCTGCAGTGCAAATCTCTTTCATTTCCTCATTCTCAGTCCTTTCAGATTGCCACTTACACTGATTCTTCGTGATCTTAACTGAAGACTTTACAGATAGTACAACAGCTTTAACTCAGCATTTGAATGGTATTTCATGTCAACACATGGCAAACTGATTTCAAGAATAATCACTCTTACTAAGGAAAGAGAAGCTCACTGGAGAGGGCAACATCAGCTCACGGCCAAACCCCAGCCCACAGCAAAAACTGTATCTTCAGGGTCGGTGATCTGATCCACGTAATACACAGAGCACTGAAACGCTCATTTTGTATCACTACAACTCCTGGTTTCCTCAGGGAAACCAGCTATGCTGCGCTTCTAAGAACGGCTTGCAATTCCCTCCAACCACCACACCGTGCACTGGAAGCGGAAAAAAAAAAAAAGCAAACCACATCACAGGGAAGTCGCGCAGCACGTAGGGAGCACGGGAGGAAGCAGCAGCGTTTCCCCCGTGCTGGCAGAGGGGCAGGGGAGCGGGGCTTCTCCCGGCGGCCGGCCCGGACCCAGCTCCAGCTCCAGCTCCCGCCCCGCCACACCTCTCCCTCTGCCACGTCAGACCAGGCCAGGATCCCGACGGGAAGCCTATTCACTCCGGCCTGGAACCTCTCTCAGGCAGCTTCTTCCTGCAGCTGGTCACGCGAACAAGAAAACACCCCAAGGAGCCTCATAACCACAAATCACAGTTTAATTCTTACTGCAGAGCGGTAAACAAAAGGGAAGAGGAGGGCGCGTTCGTCAGCCGCGAACGCAAACCAGTGCGGGGAGGGAAAACGGGAGAGAGCGACGGGAACTTCAGGATCCGCAAACTGCAAGTCAGCTGCTCCCAGCGCTGCACCAAAGCCACAGCGTCCAGGCACCAGCGCGGCACCCAGAGCTGCCAAGTGCACACGCAGAGAGAAAGCTGTGCTGTCAGGAGAGGCGAGAACAGCAGACC